CGTTAACAAATTTTTGACTGAAATCTAAGTGGTAGGACTTGTGATATTCTAAGACAAAATGTATACATGCCTTTATAATATTTAAGTGCGGTATTCAGTATTGGAGACCATTTAAAAGCATGCCTACTATGGATATGACATTCGAAAAAGCACGTATTTAAAATAACTTCCTAAGCCATAAATTGTCGATGTTCACTGCTTCTATGATATAGAGGAGGAAAAAAATCTTTCAGAAGTAATATCCTGTGTACCCTAGCTTTATAGATTCTTTTGATAATTAATACCCGTGTCTGAGATTAATATTTACTTAATGATGGCTACATTTTATAATCAGTTGATTTGTTACGCCTTGGAAGAAAGGAGTATTTATTTGCTTTTCTTATTATGCAACAGATATCGTGTCTTCTCCTCCTCCTCTCAGTAAAGTGAACTGGCCCAGAGAGAAGTGACCTGCTTTAAAAGACATCCGACTGTTAATGTCAAATTCATAAATATTTAAAGATTTTTTTTCTTTCAATTTCAAGTCAAGACTGGCAGGACGACTTTAATTAACTCTGGGTTCTTATTCCGGACTGGGACCCAATTTCAGAGAGAAATCCAGGGGTTTAGACAAACTGGGAAATTCGAATTTCCTGGCTTATGGGAGCTGGGGGTCGTGGGAGGGTATGAGATGGAGTCAAATCCATGATCACCATTTACAATGGATAACATTTCCTTCCCTCTGAAGACTTGCAAAGCTAAAAAGACAATGTGTACTTATTTTACGCACATCTCCTGGGGATCAGAATGCTTTATTGGCATATTTTAAAGAAACCACTAAATATGAACTGGAGTTCTTTGCACGGCGATGCTGCTAGAAACGCGAACTTAAAAACAGTTGAGCATCCTTAGGACAAGAACTGGCTAATATTGGGCCCCGTCCTGCCATCAGTTTGAAAGCAAAGCTCCCTTGGCTTGTGGTAACTGCCAGGCGGGAGCTTCGAGAAACTTCAAAGTTGGTAAATCTTCCAATTCCACGCGACTGTAAGTGTCCAGCGCTCTGCGTGGCAGTGCGAACGCTCACTCCTCCTTGTGAACGGTGTCTGAAGAATGAGTGGCTAACAGCTCTTGCCTCTCCAGCAAGCCCATGACTAGGCAGTGGCTCCCCTTACCACTTAGCGCCCCGGATCGAGGAGTCTTGGCTCTCACTTGTAGTGATATAAACTTAATTTTCCAGACAATCTGAGGTCCGTTCTTGCTACCCATTAGCAGAACAGCAAAGTGACCTCACTGAGAGCGAGATCGGGCATTTAGAGCCCAGTGCCCATCCGGTGTGTGGATGGGAACATTTCAGTGAAAGCGGTGCCTGCGTCTTTGCTCTCGGGTGTTGTAGCTCTTACTCGCGTTAGCTTGTGGGGAGTACAGCGACCGCAGGAGGGAGAGCAACGCTCCAGTCTCTGGGGGTTAAAGTAATGCCCACCAGAACTGCACCGTACCGAAAGGAGAGCCATTGGCATTCAAGTGACTCGGAGAGATCTGCCGCTCCGGACCATGGACCAAATCTCGCTCTTGCCCTAGGAGAATAGCCCCACTGAAGTCAAGGCATTGCAGGAAAGGCGAGCAAGAGTTGGCTCCCTGCCTGTCTCCTTTAAGGAACCGCCCGAGAGCGGGACGCTGAAGGAATTTAAGTAGCTAGGAATTATGACAGAGTAATGGGAGCTTCCATCCCACCCCCAAATAGCAGTAAATGGACAACAGCGACGCCTTCATTTTTAAGCAAGACTCCCTGCTGCAAACGATCGGTTGCTCAAAGTCTGAGTGAGATTCTTGTGGTTTTTATTTGACCCTTTAATTGCAGGATTTCTCAGATGTGCCAGTGCCATGTAATTGGGTCCCTTCTGACTGATCCTAAGGAAGTTTCCACCGTCCGCGTTGAAATATTATTCATCATTTGTGATTACCTGGAAGAATCGATAGGCCTTGTGCCTTTTCCAGGCTACAGTCGGTCTAGTAGAGAAATCTCGGAAAACATGTGAAAGCCATGCCTTGGCGTGTTAGAGTTCTCCTCCATTTGATGTCAAGCTACCTTTGGAAGCCCTGATGTATTTGAATGGCAATTATCAGAGCATTTGTAAGCGAAACCCGCGAACCCACAGAGAGGTAGAAATATTTTACTTCAAGATGCAAAATTAACAGTCGCAAAGAAAAAGATGACTTTGAAAGGTGACGATTGCTTTTACATTCTCGTAGGCAGCAAATGGATGTGTGTCCGTCTTTTGACTGTGTTTACTTGGACCATTTGACAGCACGTCGCCTGGTCATTTTCATCTTTCTCCTCTCTAGTCCTTTCCCCTGTTATTTGTGAGAGTAGAAACCCAGGAGAGAAAATTGTTTCAAACGTGATCATGGAACGACGGAAAGTGGCGGGGGATTCGGGGGCAAGGGCAGCGGCTGACACTGCTGTTAACTCTGTTTCTTTTTAACCGAATACATTTGTTGATGGTGTCCCTTTAAGTGGCTACGTATTCAGGCTGATATGTGCGTCTGCACAGAGCGGAGACTTTCACAACTCATTGGGTAGCGCGCTGGAAAATAAACCGTGGGGCTCGATTCTGCTGCGGGAAGAGAGCGGCCCGCCACACCTGGCCTCATGCGGGCGTTTCACTCCGGGGCCTTTGCTTCGTTTCTCTGGGGGAAGCGGCCGAGGTGGCAGGTGGCCCCTGGCTGGAGAACGCTGCAAGGGAGGTAGGGCTGCTGTTGAACGGAGCTCCAGGCCCTGCGTAGCCTGGAAAAACACCTCGCTCGGCGCTGGGAGCGGAGCATTGTCCGCCAGCGCGGGGAGGGGCGCGGCGCGCGGCCACTGCCCAGAATGTCCTATTGAGATGCAGATGCGGCCGCTCCCGCTCCCCCGGAGGGGACAAAGTCCTTTCACTGACATGCTAATGGCAGCGCGGAAAAGCTTTCAACTGCCAGGGCCGGAGCGGGCTCCGTGACCCGGGGTTTCCCCTCCGCCTGGAGCTGCCTCGCCTGTCACCAAAGGGGCTCGCTCCGCTCCGCCAGCCCCCGTTGACACCCCGGTGGCCTGTCCCGCCCCAAGGGGCAGGGGGAAGTGCCCAGCCAGGGAGGCAGCTGGGTTTGCTCCGGCTAGCTCAGCCAGGCCGTTCAGGGAGCAGGCTGCAGCGGGGCGGGGTGTCCCCTGGGCTGGGCTGGCTGGGCAGAGCCTGGCGGAGGAGAGCAGGGTGTCCCGCGCCGGGCTGCGGCGCTGTAGGGAGCGAGGCGCCGAGCTCGGGCGAGCAGGCGCTTGAGGAGGAGAGTGCGGGTGTGGCCCCCAGCCTGTTCCCGGCTGTGCCAGCGTCTGCCCTGGCGCTGGTGCGCGGGCCCGTCCCGTGCGGGGCTGGAGGAGGGGCGCTCAGGGCTGGGAGGGGGGAAAGAGGGGGAGGGAATTCTCCCCGGGAGCTCGCAGCTGTAGCCAGGCGTGAGAGGAGGGAGCCAGCGCAGTCCCCTGCGCTCCGGTGCAGGAAAAGTGCCGCTGGCTCCGGCGGCGCCGGCAGAAGGGGGCTTTGCAGCCCCCCCCACACTGCAAAGCCGCTGTGTGCTCATCCCAGCGCCTGCCCCCACCCCGCTCACTCCACCTCCCGGGGCTCACAGACCTAACGAGCCTCCTGTGCTCAGCTCAGCCAGGCAAGGAGATCTGGGAGCCGTATTGAACCTGCATTTCCATTAACTCAGCCCCAGCTCCAGCTAATCCGCGGCGCTGTGAAGGCAAGGAGGCTAATTAATGACAAGCTTTTACAGTCAAGACCAGCGATAATTGCTTTGGTGGCCTTTATGATTACAAGATAAAAATGGACCGGGCCTGACATAAGAGCCACTGTGTACACTGCAAGACAGGAGGAAATTAAGAGCTGGCTATCTGAATACGGAGCAGAAAATTACTAATAGAGGAGAGATAATGAATAGGCCGGCCAGGCATTCATGAGGAAAAATCCATTTTGTTACCACGCGAAATTAGGTGGTGGAAAGGAGTTTGCTAATTGTTCTCATCTTGTAGCAACCAGGACGGAGGCAGGGGCGTGCTTTTCAATTCATTTCCCTGGTAATTGTGAAAAGGGGAATGCTGGCCAAATGAGTCTTGCTGCAATTTGCGTGCCTGGTCTTTTCATTTTCATGTTGCGTTTTTAATTGTTGCTAATATAGCTTATAATGAAGCTAATGAGGGGAAATTATTGTACAACTTTTTAGCACATGGAGACAAGTGAAATGTACCAGAAGGATTCTCTCCTATGGCTTAAAATTCTGGAGGAGTTTGGCATTGTTTGTTACTTTTTTTTCCTTCTACAGAAGTTAAGGACCAGCACCTACTTCTTGTTTTGTTTGCTTTTTACTCAAGGAAAAAAGTGGATGTTTGATTATAACGCCCCAAGCCCATAACACATAAATACAACTTAAACCATTCACTCGTGATTTGAGATACTCAGGACCCGTCCTGAGTACTGTTATTTTAAAAACAAACTGAACAATTTTTAGGGTGGCTTATCATTCAACCAGAGGGATTTCTTGTTCTACGTTAACTTAAATAAAAGCAATCAGCCTATAGTTACAGTGCAGACACTTACTGCAGACGTGAAGTGCTTATTGTTGGAAATATTTTTTTCTGATTACCCAGTGGTAGGACCGATCGTAAGACGTTTCAATCCATTAGCTATGCAAATGTTTACAGAATGAGACCAGGTACGTGAGAGAGGCATGTACTCTTCTTTTTTATTTTTGGTCTTAAAATTAAAGCAGCAACAAAACAAATGCTTTCATCTTTGCGTGTCCCGTTGGTTTTTGCTGAGCCCGTTTCTCTCGGGTTGGTGCTTGACTGAAACTTTGCATCTGTGCCCATTTGGTGTTTTTCCCGGCGTAGTTTTAAAACCGCAGAGCTGAAGTGTTTTTTCCCTCCCTTCAGTGGCAAATTCTGTCTCTCTGAAGTGTCTATAGCAAATGCTCAGTCGCTGCTTCTTTCTCCTCCCCGACAGAAAAGCAAACTGAAGCTTCTCCCTCACCGCGCCGAAGAAGATGAAGACTCCACCAAATTCATCATCCTCACCCTTCTCTCCATCGCCTGCATTATTGGGGTCCTCGTCATTTCTGGGGTCCTCTACTGCCTCCGCCACCAGTCTCATCACAGGCTGAAAGAGAAGCTGTCCGGTTTGGGCACCGACACGGGCTCAGATGCCCCTGCTGCGTACCAGGTAAGGACTGGCTGTGCTTCCAGCTCTTCTCTCCCCTCCCCCGACACTTAAGAGGATCATTTCTCAGCCCCAAGGGCGAGAGATCAGTTATTCATAGTTAAGGGTGTGGCTTTGTTTTTTCAACGCAGGCTCGGAGCCACCCTGGTAAGGGCCCCGCAGATACCTCGTAACCGCTTTTTACTGCGGGCTAGTAATCTGGCCAGTTCTTGTAGTTGCTGGAAAGGTGCATCGACTAGGAAACGTAGAACTCTCCGAAAATTAACACGAATATCTGTAATCTGTCACCCCCTGCCACTTTTCATAACCAAACTCTCCTCCGGGTCTGGGGAATGGCTTGCGCATTAGTTGTCGGGAAACGTCTCTCTCTTTGAATCATCGACTACTTGGGTCTGATATGAAAAGAGCCTTTGACCCGATCTGTTGCCACCTTCTGCCGTTATTCAGATAAAGTGAAATATAATGCTGATAGATGGGGAGGTATACCCAGGACTGTTTCCAGGAGCATAATGGGAGCAGATGTGTGTCGAGTATTACAGGGATATTTCACCCGAATTTTCTGAAATAAATCAAAAGTCAATGGAAATATTGAGCGTGCAGTTTCAGAAACAGTAGGCTGAGAGACAACTGCCTGTTTTTTTTTGCGGGGGGGGGAGGGTTACTTTAGAATAATCAGTGTTTATTTCCTGGTTAGTTAGCTGTCTGAAAACATAGATGTTACACCCTGAAGCTACACGTCTGGGGCCCCAAAACATTTAGAATGTTATTTTATATGTATTATTCCAAGATATGATTGCCTTTCTATTAATTCTCTGTAATTGTAAAAAACGAAATATATTCTATTTAGTGGTGCCTTTGAATTAAAGCCATTAAGTGTTTTACCTCCCAGAGTTGTACTGAAGATCAAACAGTGCTCTTTCTGTATTGTGGTAAATTGGAGTAGTTTGAAACTATAAGTCTTAAAAGGAATAAATTCACTCAAAAGTTCTGAAGGCTCTCAGTAATTGTGGTAAAGATGATTTCCTCCTGGGTTCAGATGTGCTAAGCAGTCCAGAGAATTTTTCAGTAAAGAACTGGTGAATTCAAACATACACATGGCTATTAGCATTTCAAAGGAATGACTTTACCTTTAGTTCTAAGCAAGGGGAAGAAATCTAATTGTGAAAGCTTAAAACTTTAGTTTCAAAGTCTGGATTTATCAAAGTGGCAGAAAGGGTTGCTAGCAATTGTCAATAAAACCTGCTCTCTAAGACTAAGTATGGACAAATTTCTAAACTAGTTTTGTTGTCTGTGGTAAAGAAAACCATGTCAATATGGAGTGGGGTTTATTTTAGAGAAGCAAAAAAGGTTTAAAATAGGAAACCTGCTATTGACTTCCAGTTAGATAGGTAATCTTTTTCTTCACTTAAACATGAATGTAAGACTTCTTATTTTTTTTTAAAGCCCTCCAGGTTATAAAATCTCACTTGAAACTGAATTTGTGATAATTAACAGGACAGTCTTCCCAGTGACAGTTCTAATTAATAGTATCTGTAATTAAAATCGTGCCCTTCCAGCAGGAAAATTGTTTGAATTTCATGGAGTGACCTTTTTTTGCCATTTCTCTTGGGGGCATGGTGGTTAAATTGATATTGATTTTATAATGAGCTCTGGTTTGTTTAATAAGAATCTGTAATCCAGATGCTAAATGAAATGTGCGCTTCATTTCTTCTTGCCAGATTTTTATATTTTAAAAAATTTGCTACAAATAAGATCTAAGGATCTGTTTTCTGAAACAAAATATGTAAATGCTAACAATATATTCCGTTTTAAAGATAAAATTGACATTCTTTGACTAAATCCTACTAACCTCATTTTCCTAAGAAGTCCCATTGGTTAACAGTGGAACTACTGGGAGTGGGGGGGAAGGCATGATTTGGCTCTCGATTCCTAAAAATCTTGGTCTTTCTCAATGAAGTCAATGGGAGTTTTACTTCTGAGTTCAATGGTAGCAGGAACAGCCACCAGAATTGGAGCCAAAGGTAACATTCAGACAGTTCTGGTGATGCTACTGCTACTCTCATCAAGCAGTGATCTAGCCAAGTGTGTCTGTAGTGTCCAATCCTCTTTCTAATGAGAAGGTGACAAAATCCCAGTGTCTTGTATGTTCAGGAGCTTCAAGGGGTAGCTGTGTTAGTCTGTTACAGACTAACCATTTGCTTGCTGTTTTTTTTTTTTTTCTGTAACAAAATCCCAGGGACTTCAATGGGAGGAATATTGAGCCCTTGTCCTTCGAGTAAAAATAATTTTGCTTTGAATTTGGCTAAATCTAAGATGTATCTGTAATGTTTGAGGGATGGAAATTTTGCATTGCATCATCAAAACAAATATGGAAATAAGGAGAAGCAAATGATCTTGTTGCCTGATCTTGACTGGCACTCTTAAAGATGAACCTGCAGGCCCTACTAATATTTTGGGAGGAGAAGAACCCCAGAAAGTTTCTTTGAAATTTGAATACAAGAAGTTCAAATATAAACTCTTCTTACCTTATCAATTTTAAACAGTTTCCTAGCTATCCACTTAATTAACACATATGTATAATAAATATATGACATAATTGAATATTAGCTGGGTAGATGCAGAATATGTCTGCTGACGTTTAAGGCATGACAGATTGATAATGCACTATTGTCTGCAGCTTAAATAGCAAATCAGATTTAACTTCTGTGCAATTAAGTGGAGAGAGAAAATCAACTGGTAAATACAATTGTCAAGTAGGAAGAACTCTTTAACATTTTGACATTTATATTTATTGGGAGGATCTTCTTATCATATAAACAAGACCCACCTACTTTTTCTATTCTTAACAAAAACATTATGGATTTAACCTAGTTCAGCCACAAAAAAATCAGTGAAGATTTTTCTCCTTTCTTATTCTTCATTTTTACGTGTGAACATAGAAGGATTCTTTCAAAACTTGGGGTCTCCTTGTAGCCTGTATGTGGGGAGAAAGCAAAAACAAACTGTATTGTCAACATTCACTGTTACCTTTGTAGAAACACTGCTAGTGGGAGCTGGGATTCAGTCCAGTCTTCTGATATTGTATCAGATCTGTGACAGTTACAATGCAAATCTAACTATACAAAGTCTGTGTAATAGCCATGCTGTGCACGTAGCCTGCTGCATAAGGCGCTGAGACAGAATGAATGTTATGAAACGTAGCTCTGCTATGAACAATCAGTTATTTTTTCCTAGCGGAAATATGTCTTGTATACATAGTGTGTGTGTGAACTACTTTAAATAAAAGTTTCAACCATTTTAAAACTTGGGGGAAAATTGGCCTTCCAAGAACCTGTCAGTTAGTAGTGCAAAACAAATTTGAAATATCTGCGTTACCTTGATTTTTCGGAGGTTATATAATGGTAACAGCTCGCCTTTGGCTGTAGCTGTTCTGCCATCCCTAACAGAATATTTAAAAAATATGGTTCAAACATTTGGAAGGATAAATGTGCTATTCAGATTTAATTTGTCCATTTGCAAAGAAAAGATGTAGGTTGGTTTTGCTAGGATGTGATCAAACAGTTTTTCAAATTTAATGGTTGTCTATCTTGTCAAATGTTATATGTCATAAAACATAATTTATTCATAGACCCAGACCAAATATTTTGTGTACCTTTTTGTACTTTTCATATTCTTGTCCAGTTATATGTATAGTTGGTGGTTTAAATCAGTGTAGTTCAGAGATCGTTAAAGAGATGTCCTTATTTCCCCTTCTCTCTGTCATGTTTGTATTTGTTGTTCCTGTTGCTTTGATCGTCTTTGGAAAGCAAATGTAGTATTGGGCAAGCTCACTCCTTCTTCCACAACATTAGGGCAGAAGCTCTGTAGGAATCTTCAGCAAATACTCTTTGATTTAGTTCGCAACACTAAGCAGATTTTTCTTGTGCACTTTGAAGCCTTTGGGACATAACCCAGAGGAAAACAGGCATTAGGGGCAGCCTGCAAACAGTGCCACTAAGTGCACATCTTAGTTGTCGCTGCTCCCATTAGCGTGCAGTTTATTAAAATAATGATGGTTTATGCTGGTGACTGCTACTGTTTAGGAATAGAGAGGTAGCCGTGTTAGTCTGATCTTGCTAAAAAAAAAGGAAAAGCTATGTAGCACTTTAAAGACTAACAAGATGGTTTAATGGGTGATGAGCTTTCGCGGGCCAGACCCACTTCCTCAGATCATATTCCGGAATATGATCTGAGGAAGTGGGTCTGGCCCGCGAAAGCTCATCACCCATTAAACCATCTTGTTAGTCTTTAAAGTGCTACATAGCTTTTCCTACTGTTTAGGAATGCTCTGTCAGTTCACAGAGAAGTATTGCGAGTCCAACTGTACCTGTCTTTTGACCCTTGCATAGAGGGGGATTGCTGAATTGCACAGAGATGTAAAGTTACTTGCTTGCTTTATATTTTGAATTGGAGAACTTAGCTAGTGAATATGGTTTCTTTGCATCAGTGTTAGTGGTCCATGCAACATCACTATGGTTGAGGCTAAATGCACACCTTCAGATATATGATTAGTGAGCTCTATTATTATACTGATACAATTTCTAGGGCTATTAAGTTTTGTTTACTGAAGCACAGAAGAACATATTTACTTCCTCCAAGGGTGAAGTAAAGGAACTTCTTTGTTGGGAGATGTACCAGAAAATGAGAGATTAAGACAATGAAATACTTTGTGAGGTCTGCATTCAGGGTTCTAGTGCTCTTGTAAGAGTTGTTGACATTAAAAGTACTGAATGCTATCAGTTCAAGTGGGTAGTGATATACTCCACTTTTGTAGAACCCAGATTACCTGTCAAAATCAGGTAATAAGGGAAAATGCAATATTTTGTCGTAAAATGTATTCTTAATAATGTCTTGGTCCTGCCCATATCAAAGCCAATAGTAAAATTCTCCGTGACTGGAAGCCCCTGATTCTGCTCTCATTTATGATTTGAAACAGCTTTTTAAAAAATAATGTATGTCAGTTG